CATCTGGGCTGGAATCGGGCAGTGAGTAAAAAGGCATCCGGCCCGAGTGCGGCAGATGGAAGCGGGCCGAGTGGTAAGTCTCCGGCAGGCGAGAATCTAGCCGGAACTGGCCTGAGTGTATTTTGCTATCTGGGTCTCCTTACGGAATGCATTGGTAAGCGTTACAACGGTAAGGCTTCCCATTGATAAGTCTGAGTCTTCCCCTTGACAGATCCTGCTCTGTCAGTCTTTGTTGGTAGTAGCTCCATCCCTACTCATAGGTAGGACCTACCTCAGAGACCTATTCCATATGTAGTACTGCCCCCCCTCCCTTAGGTCAGTCCATATTAGCATCTCCACACGTTACCTCCCTATGGACAGAATGTGGTCTCCGTAACAGCCTTCTCCCTTGGACCTAGGCACGCTTCCCAATGTTCATCTAGCCTATCTGAAACAGTCTTTTTTTTTTTTTTTAGAAGTGAAAATTCCTTCTGTTAAATACAATTTTGTGGATGGAACAGCAGCCTGGCCTTTTCATGAAGCGGAGTCCTTACCATTGGCCGCTCTCGGCACCAAAGTCAGTGAACTCACTTTGGGGCATTGGGAAGGTTACGACTTACGTGTTTGCATTTGCCTTGACATGCCACGGCTTGTCAACATTTGCAACTCCACAAGTTGTAACAGCGTTCAGTGGTTGTGGCGCTTCCCACAGGGACCCCTAATGACATCATGACATAAGTCATAGTGACCGACAGATAGAGAACATCTCGGTTACGTAAGTAACCCTCATTCCCATGCCCCATTATGTCTCCATGCCACAACCCTGAACCACTCTCTGAATGCTGGGACACGGTCTTGGCTCCTCAGCACAAACCTGAATGAGTGGAGGCACGCTGCCATCTTATATACCCGTACACAAGGGGGAGTGGCAATTAAGACCCCTAATGTCATCATGACATAACGTCTCCATACCTCCATCAGGGAACGAGGGTTATGTACGTAACCAAGATGTTATTTCAGACACTCTCTGACTGATAAACTCCACCTTTGTTCATAATCACTCCTTAAGGCCCAGTTGGCCTGTTTGGACCAAGGTATTCGGTGGGCCAAAAACCCTGGCCGTTGACCCCAAGTAAACCCTGACGAGGCCTGATCAAGCCCCGGAAGTGACAATGGAAGCTCGACTGGCCCTGGCACACACTAACACGCACTCTTTTGGCCCAACAGTGGAAACCCAAAAACCTTGTGCTTTTAAACAAGAAAAGGTGTACAGGACTAAGGGACAGATTTACTAAAGCTTGTTTCAGTGTAAACCCTCTTTTGGCATTGAAAGACTACTGTCAGGATTTACTAAAAACATTAGCGATGAAAAGCTGTGAACAGTTATTTTTGTGGCTGATGTGCAAATTGTAGGAGTTTCCCTTTTAGAAACACAATTTACTAAGGTTTGCAGTAGTCAATTTACTGTTATTTGCACCATTATTTACCACCAAAAAAGCATGTTTTAACCCAATTTGCACCTGTGTTGTTAGTAGATTACAAGCACATGACTATCATCAGCTCTGCTTGTTCTCAACCTAATTTGTGCTGCTTTATGCCATGTGTTGGTCATTATGGAAATGAGCTGCCGTGTCTGTGTTCTTTAATTTGCTCATTTTCAGTAGAATCACCCACAGAAATGTCCACTCCCAATGGCTCTTTTATGGGATTATAGCGCTCTCACGCTAATTTGCCCTGTTTAGTAAATCAGACCACAGATCTGGGAGACCACTTTTAAAACCTCAAAGACTGGACTTTTATTTGGTTAAAGAACCACATTATTGATGTTTTTTTTGTCTCTCTATTCTATAAAGGGCAAATGTGGGATAATCTGTATAGTTCAGTTGGCAGATAATGTTGTTATAATGATTTATATGATGGGTGGGGGAGCCCTGGGGTTCTGTGGGCTCAGGAGAAGGATCTAGGAAGAAGAGCTATTGTCCAATAAAGAAGTGTTGGTTCATATAAGATGATCTGTTTTATTACCCACACTACACAAGAGGGTGTCACTATCACTGACACTGAAGCAGCAAATTATAGCAACATGTAAACAAAATATTAAAAATGTTACTGCTAGGCTACAGTAGGCCTATATAATCGATCAATTTTCAATGTAAACATGAAAGGAAAATTATTATTTTCATGCATTACAAAACTCATATTTAGTTACTCACTCATGTTCTCCAGATGATTTGATGACTGGTCGAACTATCAGATCTTGTTCCTCTGATCGATGAGATTTAATCTCAGCCAGCTGCTCTACTGAGTTCAGCAACACAAACACCAGAGCTGAAAACTGATCAGGAGAGAGTCTGAGTCCAGATTTCAGCTGTGTTTTTAATTCCTGGATTAAACATCGTTCATCCAGCTCTTTCAAAGCGTCAAACAGGAGACTGTATTTGTCTGCATCTGGAGAGGACTTCATGATCAGAGTTTTGATGTGTTGAACTGTGAGTTGACCGGATGAAGAGCTGCTTTCTCTCTGTGTCAGGAGGTCTTTTAAAGCTCTCTGACTGGACTCCAGCGTCAAACCCAGTAAAAAGCAGAAGAAGAGATCCATCTGTCTTTGTAAAGTGTTTTTCATGATGTTCTCGAGTACATAGTAGTCTGTGAAGTTCTCCTTTCCAAATTCAAGTTTCAGACTGGACAGATCTCTGAGCTGGTGTGGATTATTCACATTAATGACTTCAGTCACATATAAAGCTGCCAGAAACTCCTGTGTTCTGTGATTCACGAAACAGAATGATGTACGCTTGCTTGTGTCTTCAATCTTCTTTATGATTGATGAGCGTATCAGATCCCTTTCATCTCCAAAGCCACATTTCTTTAAGTCTTCATAACAGAAGAGAGAGTTTCTGTTCACCAGCAGATGAAACGCTATTCTCCCCAGAGCTATGATGGTCTCTCTTCTCTCTCGAATCAGTTCAGTCTGAGCTAACAGGAGTCTGCTGTACATCTGAGTGAGGGTCTTGGGGAAATCATCTCGGCCTGTACTGAACATCTTCTCAGGAATCGCTGCGATGATTCTGCAGTAATCTGGTAAATAACACATGCTGCTGATGCGTGGTGATTTCTGGATGTGACTGATGACTTTATCACTCATGCTCTGATCACTGATGCTCTTTCTGAAATATTCCTCCCTCTGCTGGTCATCAAAGCCCTGGATCTCTGTCACACGATCAATCCATCGAGCAGGAATCTGATTGGCTGCTGCTGGTCTGCTGGTGATCCAGATCTGAGCGTTTGGAAGCAGATTTCCCTTGATCAGGTTTGTCAGAAGATCAGAGACTGAGGCTGGATCATTTAGATCAGTAATCCTCTTTGTGTTCTGGACTTTAAACTCATTGAGTCCATCAAATATCAGCATGATCCTGTCAGAGTCATGAAGTTTCAGATGTTCAGTGTTTTCAAAGCATTGCTGCAGAAGCTGCATGAAGCTACACTCCGTCACCGTCTCTCTGATAATGTTCAGCTTCTGAAAAGGGATCAGAAATATATAATCGATATGAGTGTTTGATTTCTCTTCAGCCCAGTCCAGGATGAACTTCTGCACAGTCACAGTTTTTCCAGTTCCAGCTTCTCCCTTCAGCAAAACTGTCCTGATATTCTGGCCTTCAAACATGTTTCTGCACATGATCTGTCTTTTATTACTGATGTGAGGATAAGTTTTCTCTGTGATGTGGGGTTCAATGAAGACATCATTCAGTTTTTGTCTTTCTCCAGGTTTTTCATTCAGATACTGAAACTCGTCCTTCAGTCTCAGTTTGAACATCTCTGATACTACAAAGACACAAACACAGTTCAACTAATTTCACATCACTTGCTTTTCTATTACAATTACATCATTAACATTTATTTTATGCATATGAGTGAGCAATACTATTATAAAAAATAACAACATACACAAATTAATTCTTAAAGTTCAGTATAGCTTAGGGATGTAACGATTCACTCAACTCCCGATTCGATTCGATTCACAATTTTGATTTCACGATTCGATTCGATTCACGATTATTATAATTTTTTTAACAAAATGAGATTTAAGACAAATTATTAATTAAATCTGTCATTTTATTATTGCTTGGACAAAATGCTGCACATGTCTTTGTGAAATTGAAATATAACACTATAATAATATACTAATATAGCACTTGCATATTATTGCTCTTTTGTTGGTTTTGATTGCTTCTATTGTCCTCGTTTGTAAGTCGCTTTGGACAAAAGCATCTGCTAAATGACAAAATTTAAATATTATGTAAATAACAAAACTAAATTGAAATTTTAAAACAAGCCTCAAATCAAATAAAAAAGTAACACATATAAAATAAATCTCTTCATATAAACAAACTAAGGCTCGTCTGTGCTCTTAACATTTAAAATTAGAGGCAACCACTGCATTTTAATCTTGATCCAAACAAAGATGCTGCATACATGCAACATGAGCAGTTTTTAATCTAAATTAGATTGTATAATTTCGAAATCGGAAGCAAAAACAGAATGATTTGACTTTAGTTTTGTGAAACTATAAATAAAAATATCTGCATGAAACAGAAACAGCAGACGAGCTGAATGAGATGCAGATGCACTCTTTGCAGCAGGGGGCGCTTAAAGCGTTTCTTTGGTTTCTGCTGTAAACAAAGCAGCGCTGCGCTTATGAACTTTAATATGCATTATACAGAGGCAAGAGGAAAAGAAGAAATGCTATCTAAGCTTTTCTAAAGACAGTAAGTTCCCCTCAGACATGCATTCATATAAACTCCTACACCTAACTGAATCGTGATTTGTTTAGCATCTCAACCAATTTAAATCGTCACATATTTGAATCGATTTTCAACCGGCTCGCGGTTAATCGTTACATCCCTAGTATTGCTATTATATTTCCAGAAAGCATTGTTAAATCAAGTGAATTGATTGACTTGTAAACATACACTATATAGAGGTTGCAGCATGAAATAAAATAATACTCACCTTTTATGTACATTAACAAATATGCAGAATTAGAGCTGTGAATAAGAAACAATTCATGAAAATTGTAAAAGTACTTCACATATACATTATCTATAAGCCCAAACTTTGTATTTACTGTCTGAGATTCAGCAAAAACACTTTCTTTAATCATCTGTGACAGAGTTTTTTAGAGTGGAGGACACTTGTATGTATGTATTCATCTGCACAATGATTTATTCTATTTAAAATCAAAACCTTCAAATTAACCATCTTTAAATTAAAAGCATGTTTTGTGATTTTATACATGTAAGATTATTACCAGTCCCTGATCCACTGACAGTCTGTTTTAGGAATCTATGAGGAAAAAGGACTTGCTTAATTAGTAAATCTTGCCAAAATGGTCTGAAACATATCTTTTTTTTTAACCAATAGTTTTTGTGTGATCTGCTCAACCCCCAGTGAAGGTGACCAAAACTCACCGGTGTGACTATGTGATCATTAAAATGATACCAGTTTCCACTCAGATCTTTAATGAGTGTGACGTAATGACCACCAATGAATGAGCCGTGGTGATTAATGATGGCATACAGCTCATACTCTGGGGAAGATTCATGCTTTGATCCCTGTTTGAACTGTTGAGAAAAGAGCACATTGTGTTTATCATCTGCATTGCCTTCTGTGTGTTAATCTTGTGGTTTATGATGCTTATGAAGCAAACATGCTTCATATTATATTTACATTTCTTCATTTATCATATGGTTTTATGCAAAATTACTTACAAATGAGGAACACCATATGTACATTTGCATGCCTCTGTGTTCTTGTGCCACTTTGTTAAACTTATTTAATATTAATGTTAAAATCAAAGCTATTAATGTGATTTATTAATGTTTATTATATTTCTGGAAAGAAATTGAATGAATATGTTTTATATGCTGTTTTATTGTTCATTCAAATATACTTTTATTTCTATGAAATATACGGTATATATTATATCTGGTAGTTTTGTCCAGGGGTTTTGTGTGTGATTTTAATTTCCAACCAATTTTGCGTTCATTTTAAGCCAGCGATATAGTAATTTTTAAACAATAGTTGAGTTAAATAAAACTACCCAGTCTGCTGGGTCAAAGATGTAACTCAGCCAGATAGATCAAAACAACCCACTGCTGAGTTTGTCCATATTTGACACAGCCCTGGGATGCAAAATGACCCACATTTTTATTTTTATTTTTATTTAAACCCAGCATTTTTTAGAGTGTTTAATTGTAGTTCAAGTGCTGAGAGATGTGTGTCTTCAGCTGTTTCTTGAAGGTAGCAATTTCAGTGGATGACAGAAGCTTATTGAAACAGAGAGTGAAGGCTCTGGAGAATGATTTAAGCTAGGGACTTTAAGCAACAGCTGATTATGGTACAGCAATGGCAACTGGAAGTAAACTGTCATAGCCAGAAAACACACACACTAAACAACAATAGAGAGGATGTTGGAACAGAGTATTCAATTATTTATCAAAGTTGTTAAAAAAAAGTTTTTTTTTAAAAAGCAAGAAAAAGGTTGCTTTTGGCATAAATGATTAGTTACTGTGACAAAACTTTATAGCATTACCTAATCTGTTAATTAATTAGCTATTCTTCAATAGTATATGGTTACAGTACAATGTCACAAAGTAGCAGTTAGTCGTGTATGTGCAATAATCATATAGTCATGCAAAATATATATATTTTTTTGCAAAATGTTGTTGCCATTTCATCATCAGACACCACTCACTTACTGACAATACTGTAGATGGCAGCCAGTGTATACATACAATATATGCTGCAAGAAACTTGTGTACATATAATCATTTATTTTTTATTTTGTACCTGATTATGTAAAGGAATCTCAACTCTGCATTCATTTTTCCAGTAGTAAAGTACATTTCGGCTGTACTTCAGCTCAAATCTCTTCAGCTGCAGAGTCAAAACGTCTGGCCACTTTTTAATGTAATTTATCTGATGGGAAAATAAAAGCAGTCATTCTTTCAAAAGCACAAATTACATAACCTTGCATTATTATGAATCTTACTGCCACATATACACATTTTTGTTCTGCTCTAATAATTTACAAACTCTTTTTTTTTTGTAACTTCCCAAAAACACCATGTTCAAGCACCACATGACCCATCTATAATTTGCATTTATAACAAATAAGTTCAAATCACCTGAGCCAGACAAAATTACAAAATAAACTGCTCTGATCAGAGGTCGAGTGTTGTGGAGAGAAAGGATAGCGGATTTAGCTTTTCATGTGAAGGGGTTCTAATCCACATTTTCATGATTTCATCCTTCTCCCATTACATACTGGTTCAGAGAGGCATTTCTTCAAAAGAAAAACGAAGGTAATGTTTAAAAAAAATAAAGGTGTCTGAAGTGCCTGATGTTTGTTTAAAGGGGTGGTTGACTTTTTTTTTCTAAGCTTGATTGTGTTTATGGGGTGCAATCTAACGTGTTAATGCTTCGTTTAAAAAAAAAAAAAAACGTGTTATTTTTCACATAATGTACATTTATTCTATACTGCTCCTTCCCTTCTCTGATAAACGCTCTGATGAGTTCCTGGTTTTCTGAAGCCCCTCCCTCAGAAATAGGCGATGGGCTCTGATTGGTTAGCTAGCCCAGTGTGTTGTGATTGGCTAAACTGCCTCAGTGGCATGTGCTCTGGTTGTATTGTCAACAATGGCGTTGAAATATTAGTGAAGAGGATTGCGCAGAACCTGTGCAGGCACATGGCTCTTAATGGTACGTTTTTTTGTTTGTTGTTGTCTCATACTTTTAGATACGCTGTTATTTGTAAATGCTACTGCTTATGTTAGCTTTTAATATATGGTTTTATCCTGATTAAAGCTTTAATATAGTACGGCAACCGCACACGCGCCCATGTTTAACACTTCTCATAGCTATGTGAAAATATGTGTGTAAATGGAACAGTTCATTGTTAGAGCTGAGCTGATGATCTGAATGACAGATTGAGGGAGAGAGAGAGAGAGATGCAGAGCGTGTGCAGAGCAGGGAACGCGAGGAACAGTATTAAGAACCGCTGCTTTAGAACATTGATTTTGAAACTTGTGAATCCATTAGAATCGTTAGAAGACAGAATCGCGATTCATATATGAACAGATTTTTTCATGTATGCACCCCTAGTTTTGACGGCATGGCAACAAATCTTCCTCTACTCTGAAGCAGCGCAACATGGCTCCGCCTCCTTTGTTGCTTGTTCCCGGGGGCGGGGTTTATGTAAATTCCAGGGTTGTGACGTCACAAACCCAGGAAGTAGCTCGTTATATTTCCTACAAACCATTTTTGTAGGCATTAAACTGCTATAATTTAAAAGACGATATTTCCATTTGCATTGAACTTTCAGCGTCGTAACTTTGCAGATATTGTTTATGCTCAAACAGCGACATTACACACTAACATTAAAAAAGTGAAATCGCAATAAACCACCCCTTTAATAGATTTATACCTGCTATTTGAAAATCGACTTTGACGAGTGTAGCTCATATTGTTTCCACTCTCAAAACAATCAAATCCCTTCCTAGACAATTGTTTGGTCATTTTATCAATAGACATTAGTTTATAAAAGCAAATAATACTTGCCGTTTCCATGTCTCTCATTGATCTACATTTAACACAGTACAGCTGATCATTTCCACTCATAACATGGACTCCAAAATTCTCCTCCCAAGCATATCGCTTAAATAGAATAGAAAAATGTGAAATACAGTTTCAGTGTTTATCATTTAGTTAAAAAAACATTTTATAAACATCTTTCATAACACATGACAGATTCTTGACCCATCATTGTTTATCTTGTACAGGCTCTATTAGTTTTATTCTTTCCACTGGTAATAATTTAATTAAAATTCAGTTTATCTTACTTACCACATCACGATTTCCATTCTCATTAATAGACAGAGGTATGGATAAAAAATCTGTGTCCTCTTCATAGGCATGTTTGCAGTTAGAACATGTTGTAGATGTTGCCTTGATTCCTCTGAAAACCTAGTATTAAAGAGATTAATATTTTGACAATCTAGATTTATACAGTTCCTAAATAAAAAAATTACCTTTGATGGCTCAGGAACTTTGCTTAATATCATCTGCAGATATTCTGCTGCATCCTGCTGCTCATGAACTAATGAAAAGCAAAAATATTACTATGAAATACAAGTATCATATTAGTGAATAGAAAATGATGACAGCCTTCAAGCAAACGCTTCAAGATCAGAGAATAGTTACACAAATATCTACAACACACTGTTCTAAACAGCTCAGCCCCCTACTTGAACTGATGTGGTGTAGAGGAATATTTGCTCATGTGAGAAAAGCTACATTACACTTCTCAGTAGTGAAGTAGTTAAACCAATCAGTAGAGATGCTGCTGCAGTTAATCACACACTCTCTCTTTCTCTCTTTCCAATAACCACTAGCTCTAGAATCCAGACCCAGTTCTAAAAGACAGAGGGTTGAGTGAATCTCTGAAACATCTAAAGACTCTTTCACTCAGAGATTCTGTAAAAAGTCCAGAAGAGTGGTTTCAGTAAATGTGTTAGGATGGCATGACTATATTCATTCACAATAAAGAAAAAAAAAAAGAAAATGTGTGGAGATGTGGTATCAACTTAAATTAGAAGCTGTGCATTATTTTATTGTGTAATTATGTAATTCAATAGTTAAATCGCTAATCATTTTTTATATAAATGTAAATTACAAAAGGTGCAAAAACAAAGCTTTGGCTTGACTAACCATTCATGATGTTTAGAGCGTTTGTGACCTCTGTTGTGGAAACGTTGTGTGATCGTTCATCCTGTAATCTCCAGAATAAATCAGCCAGAGCCTGTAAGAGCTTTTCTTCTGGGGTTTGACCAGTGACTTCATTTCTCAATCTAAACACAAAGTTTGATCATCAATGGAATATATTAGTTACAGTGGACACAAGAATATGATATTCACTGAATTATAAATCATTAGGTATGTTTCCCACCTCAGCACATGATCTCTAAATCTGTCCGTCATGAAGAGCGTCTGCAGAACCACATTCAGGTAGCAGGTCATTCCTTGATTGATCAACCCACAGGGCTTGATCACTGAAATGACAGGTTTATCATTTAGAATTTGTTGAGGGAAAATCAAGAGGACCCCTGAGGTGTATTAATTAATTTATATTAGTTATAATTTATATAGGTCCTCAACAAGAAAACACGTAAACAAAAAAACACAAAACAAAATTATGTAAGTATAATTAAGTACATCAAAAGTTTAATATAAACTGTACAATATAAAGTATCATGACTCAAACACATGGATAGAAACATGTGGTGCAACGAGTAGATCTACATAGAATGCAGTAGAATAATGGCGGCATTAATCATAATCCTGGTTTATTTATTTAATTGTTTATTTTGGAATAATGATTTAGTCCTATAATATATAATTAGTATATAATAAACTAAATAATTATCCATCAGTCACTGCCACAAACAAAAAGATCTGACTCTTTATGGCTTTCAGTACATGACATGCTGGTATATGTATCTATCTGGTGTGGAGTCTTGATCTAACACGGCAAAGAGGTGAGA